ACTCTGTTCGACATAATCCTCAACATCCTCCAGAACACTCAAACTCATTTCTGCTGATTTCATTTGCTCTGACAGCACCTTTAGTTTAGCATCAGTGACCCTCTTTGCTTGCTCAGTCAGTTTCCTCTCTGAATGACGAAGAACATTCATCATTTCCTCTACCATTTCATGTATTTCTTTTAAGACTCCTTCTCCTCTCCCTCTGATCTCACCCTCTCTCTCTGCTAGAGCAGACAGGACCTTCTTGAGTGCTTCCTTCTTTCCCTCAACTGGTGATAAACATTCTCTTAACTTTTGACAGTGTTTAGTATAACTGTCAGTGATTAAGTTATATTCATGATGTTTGTGATTACGAACTTGACAGGTAACACAGATTACTGTATTGCATGTTTCACAGAATAGCTCTAAAGGCTTTCCATGATCCCTACATGTGGCCTCTTGAGGATTAGGCAAACCTTCTGTCTTCTTCACTGCATTGTTCTTCATTGCACTGTACATCTCTTTGAGGTTGTTGAGAGTGAATGCTACAGGAAAGGCTCTTGCTCCTTCTTCTGGTAACTCTGTACAATGACGACAAGTGGGACAAGAGAGGTAATAGGTCTTATTCTTCTTATCCAGAGGTAATCCCTCCAGACAGTGCTCACAGAATGAATGTAGACAAGGTAAAGTCTTAGGGTTAGTATAGTGGTCAAGACACACAGGACAGGTGAGCTGTTCCTCCAGATTGAGGAGATCAGGAGATGAAGATGAAGATGGTTTGGTTGACATTTCAAGAAAAGAATGTACGTAAAGCAAAAACAAAAAATGAAGAGAGATAAAGGTATAGAAGACGGTTAATGAAGATAGAACAAGAACGAACAATAAGAAAATGAAGAAGTCTGAATGAACGAGAATGAGAGTAGCCTGGGGAAAGAAAGCCCTGATGACCTCTTGCAATATTCTATAGTCTTGTGACTAAAGGAAGTTATGACAGTACATTCCTTTATTATCACAACCAGTAGTAAAGGTGAATTTACATTAATTAATGAGAATGTAAAACAATTTACCAAATACCAAGAGTAGATCTACTCTTGTAAATACTCAGTTATACCCATACTTCAAGTTACATGTATACTTTATACATGTAGGAAAAAGTGAAATGTCAAGGGTTTTGCCCCTCACCACACCTTAATGTGTGTGTACATGTACATTGTACATGTACATAATGTATGCTGGTGTGTATGTGTATATTTAAACATAATTGGGACGAGCTTGAGTGAGCCCCACATAAACGAGACACATATGTATGTATGTCTGTCTGTCTGTTTGTTTGTACACGTACGTCATCCCTATTTATCCGTATGAAAAATTTTCCACTTTTAATAAACTTGATAATATTTCATTGAAAACGGGTGTGGTCACAGTGAAATAAAATGGCGGTTCAGTATCATAACTGGAAATTCTTGCAAGACTGATTTGACTGTAGTGTACTGCTGTCCAAATGCAGCAAGGAAGGTTAAGAAAGCAGACATGCCATGTTCTTCATTGATGTAAATCACTCTGATCAAGAGAATGTCAGTCACAGCCTGAGCCTGAAGTTGAACTAACTTCATGAACTTGGAGCATGCAAGAAGCCAAAAACTACATTCCTACAGATGCCTATCTAGCTTTATCATTTGTGCAATGACTGCTTATAGCTATCTTTAATGCTTGTTAAATGTTTTTAGCAAGGTACCGTAGCTTTAATTGTTGTAGAGAATTAAAGGTAGATTATCATCAAGAACTACATCCATAATTCCATGAGCTCTGAGCCTGCTTAGTTGCACCACTCTAATATCTATTGCATAATCATGCTTGAGTATTGTATGTTAGTCTGTCAAGATCTATTGTATGTACATTGCTTTGCTTGCTTAGGGTTGCCCCTTTAATGTTTTACATTCGTCTAGTTATTATTATGATTATTATTATTACCAGTGGTATCATAGAGTGATACAGCTGCTCTAAAGCCCCTTTATATAATGTAACAGCTTAGTCTCTGAAGGATAACTACAAATGAATAAATAAATGAAAAAATAAATAAGTAAATAAATAAAATTAATTAATAAATGAATAAATAAAATAAATAAAGAAAATAATCAGAATAAAAAGAAGAGAGAGAGAGGGGGGACAGTGTGTTACCTGAAGACAGGATGAGTTAGATAAGGTTTTTCCCTCTCATGGCCACTACCAGTGATACTAACATTAGACTCAGCATCAGATACACTGTACAGGACACTAGCAGCCTACGGGGTATATATGGGAACAGAATTATAAAGTATGGAATTATGAAGTATGAAATTATGAAGCATAGAATTATGAAGTATGAAATAATGAAGTACGGAATTATGAAGCATAGAATTATGAAGTATGGAATTATAAAGTATGGAAATATGAAGCATACATGTACATGTATTACTGTACCTCTTCTTCATTAGCTCCAAACACATACAGTAAGTGAATTAAATCACTGCCAATGACAGTCTCATCCAGCGAAACACCATACTATAAAATAATAACTATTAATAACCATATTTAATAACTAATACATAATAATGACTTAATAACTATTAATATCACTATTCTTAATAACTATATTAATAACTAACAACTAATAGTTCCATCTCCATAGTTCTTCTTGTCACATCTCTTCTGTATTCATGAGTGCTAATGTCTCCATTTGATATTATTATTGTATCAAAGACCGTTTCATTATTAATAGTCCAACCTAACAGTCTCAGACCTAATGGGGGACAAAACAGAATTAATTTATTATCATTATTATTGTGAGAATGCATAATACAGTTTTGTACATTGTATGGTAAAGGTATGTAAGTACATCAATATGTATTTAAAATGTAATAAAAGTTGGAGTGATTTTGGAGCCATTTTTTGGAAAAAACAATCGACTATAGTCTTGGGTACTTTTCAAAATTTTGGCATTTTCTTAAAATGGCCGTAACTTGAAAAATTGAAGTAAGAATCAGCTGAAACTTTCTACACAGCATAAGGGCATCAATATTTTGGAGCCATTTTTCGGGAAAAACCATGGGCTTTAGTACAGGGATTTTTTTTAGATTTTGGCTGATGAAAAATTGAAGTCGAAGTCGGAATCAGCTCAAACTTGCTACACAGCATAAATACATCAATATGTATCAGAATTCAGAAGGAATAAATCAAAAAGCCATTTTTGGCAAAAATGTAAAAAATTAAATAACAAATAATAATAATACTAATGATACACATACATAGCTACAAGCATACCTTCAGCTAAGAGTACAGTAGCTTTATGCCCTTCCATTGCAATATCCTTCAATCCTTTGGGTCCATGATACACTGCATACATAGCTGATACATTAGCCAGCAGTGCTTGTGCAGTACATATGTTACTGGTGGCTTTTTCTCTCCTAATGAACTATTATTCTCCTGTCTGTAGTGCTAGTCTCCAGGTAGGGACACCACATTGATCCCTGTGAAGGAGAAGGAGCAGTAAACATTACACAAGACTACACAAATATAAAGTTTCAATATATTGACAGATTGGCAGGCTAAATTTTGATGATTCAGAATCTCATGTACAAAATGGCAGGCCAATAATTACTGGCAAATATTGGAATTTTCATTTAACATTTATGCTATACAATACTAATGTACAAACCTTTAATGTTATATCGCAGGGCGCCTTTTTTTCGAGGGCTGTAAATTTTGCAGATTTCAAGATTTTTTTGAAGATTTGAGAAAATTACTTCCACGAATATCAAATAATTATGGTAGAAGATAACAGACGGCATAAATTTGTGAAACTAAATCCCCAAAATAGATTTTTAGGCAAATTCAAGAAATCTACAGCCCTCGAAAAAAGGTGCCCTACGGTAATGCTTTGATAAAAATGACAATTAAAATTACATGTTCCATAAATTGACAGAGTAGCAGGTTAAATCATTTGACTTTTTCCTGAAACAATATTCAATGCTTTTATTATTAATAATTAAAATATAATTATTAAAATATGGTCAATAAACAATCAAAATTTAATAAACAACAAGTCGTCCATTATAATTATCACAGATATACAAGAATCCATTTTTATCAAATGCTAATCCATAAGGACCATTAAACTGATCAATATTACTGCCTTTACTTCCAAACTTACTAACAAACACACCATCACTAGTGAAGACTGATACACGATTATTGCTATCTTCACTAACATACACTAGACCAGTAGCTGCAGTGTCTATTGTTATACCTATTGGATACTTAAGCAGTCCAGAGCCAAATTTTTTATTACTAAACTGACCTACAAACTTTCCATCTGGAGAGAACTTCTGAATGCGATGATTATTAGTATCAGTAACATACAGTAATCCTTGACAGTCAATAGCAATGTCACGTGGTAACCGAAACTGTCCATTAGCTGATCCTTCACTACCAAATGAATGAGAGAAGGTTAGATCAGGATTCAAGACTTCTATACGATGATTAAACCAATCAACAATATAAATCTGTCCTGTTATAGGAGAAATGGCTATACCATCAGGATCATTGAATTGTAGTGGTCCACTGCCCTCCTCACCAACTGATGCTATAAGGTATCCATCCATGCTTATCTTCTGGATCCTGTGATTATAATCAGATACAAGAATAAATTTGTCTGGAGTAATGGCTACACCACGAGGATAAGATAACTTGACATTACCACTTCCTCCTATCCCTCCTAATGATTTCACTTTCTTTCCTTCTCTGTCCAGTATTGTTACACAGTCACCATAATACTCAGTTATTATAACATGATTATCATCACTTACAGCAACTCCCCATGGACGATTAAGCTCAGTTATAGTACGTACTGGAGTGACACTATCAAGGTAAGGATTGAAAGGGATAATTAGTGAGGTATCCTCAAGGTGTACATCATATACTTGTACTTTTACTGTATGAGTACCACTGGTTGAAGGCTTACACTGTATCCTATACACTCCAGGATCAGTGCTGGTGGTAGTGACTGTAGTATGAATGGGTTGATCACCTTTACCAACTGGTACTAAACTACACCTCAAAGAAGAGAGGGGAACACACAAAAGAGATGAATCTGGTGCCTCCATTGATAGTGAAAACGAAACTGTTTTGCCAGTAGGTATAATATGGTCAATCTTCTTCACTCTACACTGCTGTAGTGCAGTAGATGAGTAGGTCACAATATCTCCAATGTGATTTAGCGATTTGATATCTTTACTCAATACAAAGTCAGCCTTTTCCTTTGGATGTAACTCCTCCACATTGATCCCTGAAGTAACTTCACTCATACGCTCCATCATCTGTTTCTTAGACCTCAGGACTTGTTGAGGACTGCCTGTTTTCAGACTCTGTTCTACATAATCCTGGACATCCTCCAGAAGATTCAAACTCATTTCTGCTGATTCCATTTGCTCTGACAGCACCTTTAGTCTATCATCAGTGACCCTCTTTGCCTGCTCAGTCAGTTTCCTCTCTGAATGACGAAGAACATTCATCATTTCCTCTACCATTTCATGTATTTCTTCTAAGACTCTTTCTCCTCTCTCTCTGATCTCACCCTCTCTCTCTGCTAGAGCAGACAGGACCTTCTTGAGTGCTTCCTTCTTTCCCTCAACTGGTGATAAACATTCTCTTAACTTTTGACAGTGTTTAGTATAACAAACAGTGATTAAGTCGTATTCATGATGTCTGTGATTATGAGTTAAGCAGTTTACACAGATTACTGTATCACAAGTTTCACAGGATAGCTCCAAAGGCTTCCCATGATCACTACATGTGGCCTCTTGAGAATTTTGCAAAACTTCTGTCTTCTTCACTGCAATGTTCTTCATTAAACTGTATATCTCTTTCAGGTTGTTGAGAATAAATGCTACAGGAAAGGCTCCTACTCCTTCTTCTGGTAACTCTGTACAATGACGACAAGTGGGACAAGAGAGGTAATAGGTCTCATTCTTCTTATCCAGTGGTAATCCCTCCAGACAGTGCTGGCAGAATGAATGTAGACAAGGTAAAGTCTTAGGGTTGGTATAGTGGTCATGACACACAGAACAGGTGAGCTGTTCCTCCAGTTTGAGGAGGCCAGGAGAAGAAGATGAAGATGGTTTGGTTGCCATTTCAAGAAAAAAAATAAAATTGTGTACGTAAAGCAAGAATAAAAATGAAGAGAGATAAAGGTAGAAGACAATAAAATAAGACAGAGCAAGAACGAATGATAAGAAAATGAAGAAGTCTGAATAAAAGAGAATGAGTAGCCTGATAGGGAAAGATGGCCCTGATGACCTCTTGGAATATTCTATGGTCTAGTGATTACAGGAAGTTATGATAGTACATTCATTGATTACTTACAGGTGCTCCATATTCTTGTGGCCACATGTACATGTACATGTATAAATACTGTATGTGCAGAAGGTTTTGCTCCTCACCATACCTTAATATGTGTACATGTACATATGCACAATATGCTTGTGTGTATGTGCATATTTAAACATACATATAATATCAATACTAGAAAGAATGTAAATGAAACTTTGAGATGCTCAGCCTCCTGGCTACACCTCCTAGATATGCACTGAAACGTACATACATGTACATACAGAAATTCTCATACACATGTATGTAAGGGCTTCGCCCAATAATCTGAGTTTCAACCCTAGACAGACTTTCTTTAATATTACATATCGTAGTAATACGATACATTAGTCAGATCATTAGGCAATTGCACAAGTATTAATGTGTTTAACATAAATACATGCAATGTAGTGAACATGCATATTATATATGCATGATTTATTAGTAAGACTAATACATGTACATGTGTTTGACAAATTTGCTTGTGGAATTAACTTAATTGGTGAATTTTATGCCAATATTAATTCCTCGTCAATATATCACCTTGTACGGTATTGTGTACGGCTTGATCTTGCATGGCTTCATGTACATGTACATATATTGTATGTACACAGAATGAATAATGCTTGCGTCAACTATAATCATCATTATCATTCATTAATACACTATACCATCATCATGATCATCATCATATTAAATTCTTACCAGCTCTTCCCCACTAATCTTCCAGGCATTCGTTTCTTGAGTTCATCTTTAACAGCAAAGAATGCAGCATGGGGTCCATCACAACCTTTAAAATACAACAATACATTCATATGAGGGTCACATGATCAATATTACTAATTTTAGCATTACTTTAACTATCCATCAACCATACTTTCAATAGCAAAGGCTACTAAATATTAATAATAACTATCATTTTATATTTAGGGGCTGCCAGACTTGTACTGTTTTATAGCATTTATTAATTCAGTTTCTAATCAAAAACACAAAGTTTCGATACTTAAAAAAAGCTGCTCCTCTTAATGCGTTAAAAAAAACAGTAACATTTAGTAGATAACCACATGACAATTAAGTCACGTGACTATAGAGCAGTTTATGTACATGTACATTCCCTTACCTGTTGGCACCCCACACCTTTGACTGTTACCAAAGGCAATACTAGCACCTAATACACCAGGAGACTTGAGGAGAGTGAGGACTAGGAGATCTGTAGCCATTGCAACTGGGATTATCTATATAAACATGTAATAGAAAATAATAATGTACTACATGTACATGTACACAATGTGTGTGGTATTTGTCAGGAAACCGTATATGTGTATGTGCTTTTACATGGTCAAAAAGAAGCATCTTCAAGTTTTTTGACAGGTTGTGGAGTGAATGAGTTCTCACTAGTACAGTATATTTCATTAATTAATCATTAATTTTATTAGAGCAGGGTAATTGCAGTGAATTACCCATTCAAAAATTTTATTTCAAATGAGTGCAAATATGACACCTGTCTGATTCTAATCCAGTTGTTCTACCTTGATCTCTTTATAAATGCATGGAACGTTACAAGGCTATTGTGGGTCGGACTATAATGATATTCATTACTTGTTACTGAGGCTTGTAACACGTTGTTGGAATCTACTCAAATTATTAATTAATAATACATGTTATCTACATGTACATGTACGTGACCAAGAGTCTTGACGTGACTAATATCAAGTAATAAGGTTCCTCATAGTATGTGTAACATTAAACAACTTTTGAATGAAAAATCCTTTTTGATTGGAGTCAGCTCAAACTTTCTAAGCAACATAAAAACATATATATGCATCAGGAAAAATATAAAAATGGAGAATTCTCTCCTTTTAAATTCTGACAAAATTTGGCCCAATTAAGATGATAGTTATAAGTACATACTCTACACATTGTACTCCAATCCATACCTTCAATCCTTTAGCTTGGATGTCACTATAATTGTTAATGATACCATCGTTATTAGGATACTGTAACATCACTCCACATATATCATCAGTTAAAACAAAGTCCTCATAAGATCCAGTGACTATGTCAATATTTAAGAACTTTGCTCTCGTTTTGATGACTGCAAGCGACTTTGAGTGAATCCCTTTGTCAATGAAGTACTTGTTTCTGATGGGAGGAGAATACAGAGATAGAGTCACGTGATAGTCACATGACAGCAAAGAGTACATGTACACGTACAAAAATATTAAGCATAAATAGAAATTTTGGAGGAGAAAAATTAGCAATTTTATAAACAAATCTACCAAAATAAAACTAAAAACAATTTATCACTCAGACAGTACAAATTATCTATTAGTAATAATAAGACACACAGTCAGTCAGTCAGTCATAATACTCTTACCCATTGAAGGGATCAGGTAATTAATTGGGTGTCAGTGTCACACCAAACTCTCTTGATTGCTTGCTGTACTACAACGTACTTATGTATAACTATAAATTAGTAGTGGCTTACAAATTCATTCATTCATGAATCTAATGGAAAGGGAGATGAGAAAAGTAATGGGAGAGGAAACTCACTTTGTTGTAATGTATGAGTACAGTTGCTATAATCAGGACAATTACATGAGTCCCTTCCAACAGTCAGAGAGAGAGGAAAGGGAAGAAAGGTAAGGAATAAGAGATGAGTCCAAACACGTCAGTTGGAAATCACGATTTGAAGAGACCCAGTTGATAAAGATAATGAACCATTGAAGGATGGAATGAATGATAATATGATGAACGACAGGAGATGATAAGGTGAGCAGTGGTTTATCAATAGAGAGTGGGAGTGTACACAGATTTCACTTTCTCAAGGAAAGCAAGAAACTGATCATGACTATCATGTAAGTACTTGCGACGAAATAGAAACTCTACATAACACGACTGTGCAGCTCCACCAAATAGAGATCTCATTACTTCTCGCCATGTACTCTCTATTTCTAATGTATGATTACTACTCTCAAAAAATTCAACAGAATGATCAAGAGTTGCAAGTACACGTATATAGCCTTCCTTATCTAAACTACAACGAGATTTCCAGCAGTGAGACACAATTTTAGATCCAGGCTTGACAAACTGCTTAATTATTGGGACCAATGTCTCTGCCGATCGGTCCGAGACAACTACTAAAAAACAGTCTCGGGACTGACGGTCGATTCCGCTAAAAACCCAAGGCCCATTAGCATTCCTCCCTCCAATAGACACTCTCTTTGATTCATATAATTCGACAGTTTCCCCCGGGCCACCAATAGGAGTAGACTCCTTCTCTAGTGTACACGTACACACAGTTATACAGAAACTGTACCATTCCTGGGCGCTCCTCCATGAAGAAACATTGGATTCCCTCATGGCAAGCGTCTCTGTTTCCTTATAAACCCAGAAGTAAGTTAGCTTTATGATTTGGGAGATGGTGAGACGGGATCTCTCAAACCAGCTCCCTCGTCTGATGCTTACTTTTGAGTTGCACTTTCTGTTGGAGCACCTCCAACAGTGACCATCCTTGCTGTAAGAGCTGTCCTTGACGAGCTTCATCTTTCCTGTACACTTCCCACAGTCGCTATCAGTAAAATCACCGATGAGTCCTCTCCTCCGGAGCCATGTGACGAGTTCACCATTACGAATAATCAAGTATAGCTCCATCAAACGTATTTCTTCGTCCTTTTTAGCGTTATCAGAGCCAGAAGGAGTCGAGGAACAAGTAGCCATGATAAAACCTGAGAACACGTGGAGGGGTGTGACTATGACTTGAGCATATGGTCCAGTACCACCAATCCATTGATGTTGACACTTCTGCTGGCATAGATATGCGACTGTTCACGCTGCTACTTAGTTTATGCTATACATTCAGTCCAAAAGTGAGTATCTAATATAATTATTAGTTTATTATTATTATTATGCAAAACAGCAAACTACTTGTCCTTCTGCTCTGTTGAAAGTTTGAATCAATTCTGATTGCAAAATTTCAAGTTATGGCCATTTTTTAAAATTTGCCAATTTCTAAAAAATATTCTGTACTTATAACCAATGCTTTTTTCCAAAGAAAGACTCTGAAATTTCCCCCAATTTTAATTACGTTTTAGTGATGCATATTAATGTCCTTATATGCTGTGTTAAAATTTTAAGCCGATTCTGACTAAAATTTAGGTTATAGTCATTAAAAAAAATTTTTAAATACCCTAGCCCAGGCTTTTTTCAAAAAAATGGCTTAGAAATAACTCCCAATTTTTATTACATTTTCTGATGCGTATTGATGTCATCAGTTATGCTGTGTGCCAATTCTGATGCAATTTTAAAGTTATGATCATTTTTTTCAATGTACCAATTTCTGAAAATACATTGTTTTTTTCCAAAAATTGTCTCCAAAATTACTCCCATTTTTATACATATTTTTTTAATTCTGGAGTTTTGTGCATTAAAAAAAACTATACCTGTAAAAATAATATTGGCTCCAAAAATCACCACCAATACTTCTGATTGTTGTGTTGATTGATTTTCTGATTTTTCTATATTGTGATTGATTTTCTGATTTTTCTACATTGTTGTTTAATAAAAATTGTCAAATTACCTGGCATTTAAATTGAGCAAATATGATAATGCATATATGTACATGTACGATATATAATGGTCCTTTTTGAGTTATGAGTTTATTAAGTTCTTGTCAGTTTTGATGTTTAGAACAACATGAGCTTTATATATAAGTATATTAGTTCACTCTTGCTAACAGTTTCCTTTATAAAACTCAGATGTACCAGAACTGTTTAATTTGTTTTCTCTCCCTGGTATGTCCTATACCAGTTTACCACAAAACCATGAGAATAAAACATCCGAAAATTACCCTTTATATTGCATTATTGTATTACATGTAGATTGCTGAATCAGAAGTGACACCAGCTTGTACATACATGTAGGTCCCTATGTACATCATACTAGGGGTGACATAGACAATCGTGTGATTTCTAATTGATGCACCTTCTGACCTAGACCGGAATCATCATGTCTGAATCTGAACCAGCAAGTTATCCCTTAAGTTATCTATAAATTTTAAAACGTCTCTATTATTACAATAGGAGGTATTGATTGACCTCCAGCACTTATTTTAACTCTTGAGAAAATAATTAAGGATGTCAATAGAAAAATAAGGAACAAAGAGACCATTTCTGGTTTCAAATTGAACATTCTCTATGTGAAGAGGAGCATGCTACTTCATTGATGGAATTGAAACTGAAAGAGAAAAATCTGGACAATAAATCCTAATTCATTGCTTTTTTAGTGTTATTATCAGGATCTTATTGTGTGTTACTATTTGTACTACACTTATTAACTGGAAAGATTTATTACTTAATTGTAACTTGACCCTTTGTGTGAACTGTGTCGAATACATAGCAATGATAGGCATGCAGTGATTATTATTAAAGACAGTTGATTATTATAATCACTATACACATTGACGTACTGATATATTACATATAAGGAAGTTAGGAATAGTTTCATCTTCAACTCTTACACCTATAGCTAATTGGCATTGAAAAAACAACAGATACCACCAAACATTAATCTCCAGCAATGCATGGGCACCAATAGCATCATAATAGAATTACAAAAGTTCAATAATAGAAATAATCATTATTATAGTAAAATATAGTATACCATACAGAACATTAAAAGTAGCTCAAATACTATGATGTTATTACATGCAATCACAATACCAAGAATTTGTAGTTTGGATTGACATGTGAAAGAATTTACCACAAAAATACACAGGAAAAACAATTAGTCAAAACAGTATAATCATTCAATCACAGGCTACATAAACAAAAAGCAGGAAAGTACATTAACTAAATGTGCATAAATTTCAATGACTCTATTACTTGAGCCATATTATGACGTTCTCTAGGATTAGCTTTAAGTCCTCTTTGTATAAGAGATTTCATATCAGACCAGGAGACTTTACCAGATTGCCGTGCTCTCTCTACTATTGTCATACCTGGTTGACAACATAAATTCATTTCTATAAGGAGAACAGAGTAACTGTAGACATCCATTGCTGGACTGTGTCGATCAGGATCACGAGCTTCTGGTGCAGCATATGCTTGATTGCCTACAGTACTAGTGCCTTGTTGCAATTTAGCTGTACAATAATCTGCTACTTTAGCTTCATATCCAGCAGGTCCAGTGCAAGGCTTTAATAATACATTAGGACTACTGACATCTCTGTGAATAATAGGCTGAGGCTTAAACAGGTGAAGGTAGTTGAGGCCTAAAGCTACATCTTGAGCAATACTCAGAATCTGTTGTTTGGTTAATCGGTTCAACTCATGACTAAGACTAGTGCTCATCAGCTCGGTCAAGATGAGAGGATTACCCACTTTAGTTGCACCAATAAACTGGACCAGGTTAGGATGACGTACTCGTGATACTATACTCATTTCTTTGAACAAAAGATCTTGATTATAATCTGAGATGACGACAGTATGAAGTGACTTGACAGCTACTCTTAAACCTCTAAAGATACCAACTGTAACGACAGCATAAGACCCTCTTCCTAACTCCTCCTTTGTCAAAGTCACTTCATCTTTATCAATAACCCAGTGATCATCAGTAAGTGCTTGTTGCTGGTACCTACGAACTGCCTCTTGAGACTGACATAACTCCCTATCCTTCTCCTGTAGCTCCTTATCCTTCACCTGTAGCTCCCTATCCTTCACCCATAGCTCCCTATCTTTCTTCTGTAGCTCCTTCTCCTGTAACTCCCTATCCTTCTCCTGCATGATGTAGCTCCTTCTCCTGTATAGCTCCCTATCCTTCTCCTGTAGCTCCTTCTCCTGTAGCTCGCTATCCTTCTCCTGTAGCTCCCTATCCTTCTCCTGTAGCTCCCTATCCTTCTCCTGTAGCTGCCTATCCTTCTTCTGTAGCTCCCTATCCTTCTTCTGTAGCTGCCTATCCTTCTCCTGTAGCTCCCTATCCTTCTTCTGTAGTACCACCTGATGCTCCCTGTCTTTTTCCTGCAATGCTTCCTGTTTCTCGCTTTCCTTTGACTGTAACTGAAGACAATACCGTCTTATTTCACGCTCTTTTTCTGCTTCTTTCCTTTCCATGTCTTGTAACTTTTTCTCCTTCTCTTCAAGGCTCAACATAAAAACTTGTATTCTTTTCTCTGTCTGTAGTTGCTGCTGATATTCCTCATTACTCATATCACCTACTGTCCACTGTCCATTTCTGTTGAAAACTGAGAATGGACATTGAAAAATCATATTAGGGATAATAACTTGCACATAAAATACTGATAATTATACAATAGACATGCATGCAGGAGTGGATTAAAAAATATCTATTGGCATAGTAAAAATCTAGTGGCATAATAGATTTAATAGAATTCGTAACACATTTACAAAAATTTTTATTCAATGCAATTTTGAAGTAGCTGCTAATGTATTATTGTTTTATTTGTAATTTAAAATGACCCAAATTTCTACTTTTGCAATTTTCTACAAAATTTTGATAATAACAATAATAATAATTTTACAAAATCAGTTTTTGCAAATGGATAATACACCATTATAAAATTTATAAAAATATCACATAAATAGAGATAATGCACATGTATACACAATACACAAGTATTTACATGAAACAGGTCTTCCAGTACAAAGAAGTACATACATAAAAACCACAATAAGTAGAGGACATGATTTTTATGTATCTGTATTGGGGGTTTTTCTAGTCCTTCTAGCTATAGCAGACAAAAACAGTATCAAGAAAGGTGATGAAGACATTAGCCTTTCAATATTCAACATTTGAATAAAAAAATAATATAGATAAAAAATCACCAAAATATGGACAAATTTGGTACGCAAAAAGTAAATGTACATTGTTCATAGAAGAAAATTTGCTAATGCATACAAGTACATACAATGATCTGTTTTTAAATATACAAGTACACAAAAATTTCAATACATGTGTAATATCTGCACATAAATATCTATAATTCTATTCTAAAGAATACCGGTACGTTATAAAAATATATGTACAACACTGACCTAGTTTATTTAACATAACAATGTTAGGATCAGCGACAGGTCCATTATAATCTCCTCCTCCAACAGTTATCATGCAAACACAATGAGGACTCATAATGAACACTGAGAGAGAATGAGCGAATCTCTTACTAACAGAGTGAGGTACATCTAACTGTTAGAAATAAATTTTATAATTTATACGTGTACATGTGCATACCTTAATCCAGGAATGTTGAGTGATGTTAAAGACCCAACAATCATTTAAGATATCATTGTTTATATCCCACCCACCACTTATCACTAGCATAGGACAGTCTGATCCAGTCATAATAATAGCACCTGCATGCCAGTATCTACGCATAGGCCATTGGTCCATTCCTTTAGGTTTCTTTATACACTGCCAGGACTAATAAATAAAATTGACTTTAAAAACACAAAAATGTATGCGTACATACATTCAGTACATGCAAATTTCATGATGCAAATTACATACCACAGTGCTGATTGATATCTCTAATATATAAATATTGCTAGTAGGAGTCTTCTTATCATCATCAATCTCCATTCCACCAAACAGAACAGCCTTAGTGTTTTCAATACTTTCAATGACAAAGAATGAAGAAGGTGGTATACACTGACCAATGACTGAAGGATTACTCCATTTTCCTGAATTAAAAATTAAAATATAATTTCAAACAATAATGAAATTTTACTTGATGATATATTATACATTGAGTGCTCATTAGTAGACCAGTTTCCATTACGTAACTTGATATATTTATAATCCTGTAGTTTTACAGCTGGTTTAGATCCTGTTCCTCCTATCATTAGTAAATGATGTACTCCATCATGTTCAAACGATATCATTCCACCATTAGCTCTCCGCATAACTGGTCTAGTTGCATTAGTTGGCTCTAATTCCCTCCATTGAAGACTAACGGTATCCAGTTGTGACACACTGTTGTGATAGCAGTTGTCATGGCCACACCATCCCCCGAAATAATACAATTGATCATTTATTGCAATACAGCAGTATGCTCTCACTCCTAATGGAGGAGTACCAGTAGTATCTCTAGCGATCCATTGACCAGTTGAAGGAGAAAGGTGTTGTATATTACTAGTGATCCTTCTCTTCTTTGTATTATCATGTACTCCAGGTAAACCAGCCTGATAACCAGCCCACACATACAGTGAATCACCTACTGATGCGGTGCGGTGATACATTCTTTCATTTGGTTTATCTAAAGCAATAGATTGGCAGTGCATGATCACTGGAATGCGAGCTGGAATGGTAAAATCTGGGCTTACCTTCAGACGCCATTGCCAATGGGCCTAGGGCCCTAGTGACCGTACACTGGGCAACAGGGGAGCAGCCCCTTGTAGACTATTGTAGACTAGCCCCTTGTGAGCTCACTATCTAGCTCAGCTAGAGCTAGCTCAGCCCATAGATATTATCTATGGATAGATATTATCCATGGATAGATATTATCTATGGATAGATACTATGCATGCTCAGCCCGACCGGTCAGCTGGGCATGTAATCACGTGATTATCTCAGTCTCAGAAAAAAAATAGAAAATAAAAAATGTCGGCAAATAGTGAGGACTTACTTTTATGAATTTTTGACCTTTTATTCTCCATAGACTACGAGCCAGTAGAAAGATGTCACCACTCGACAGTGAAGGTTGGAGACTTCTTGTACATGTGGGGTGGGGACCAGCCTAATCTCCCTGAATTACACAGCAGTGAAAAGAAAAAAGCAATGACATCCATGATGGAGGTTTACCACTTACCAACCGGCAGATGGGAGCAGAAACCTACAAATGGGGACCCACCACTTGGCATCATTGGTTACTCGTCTGTCGCCATTGGGAATGACATATTTTACTTTGGGGGGTATTGCGGACATTCTGGTTGTTTTCATAATAGCTTGTATTCGTTTAACGTCAGTAATTTCACCTGGAAGGAACTCTGTCCGACTGCAACTAATCATGGCCCAATGATGAAGGGGTTTTGTGGCATGATAGGCGTACGACTGAATGGAGAAGATTATCTTGTGGTCATTGGAGGCCGTAGATCATCTGCTATTAATACTCCCTTACAGTCTGGTGCACAATACACTAACGATGTGCTAAGCGATCGCAGATGTAGCGAGATTCATTACTACAAAGTTTCATCAGGTTAGTGGTGCATATACATGTACATACATACATACATGTAATTATCACGTATTGCTCTAAATGTCCATTGTCAAAATTTCATAATTTTGAAAAAAATGTTAATGATCACAAAAACAACCAGTTGCTATTGTAACTTAAATGACACATGTTGTTTAATCAAGAACAATTTTTTTGTAGATATCAAAAATTTCAGACCACAAACCACAAAAATATTGAGCTATATTCATTGAATTAAATTTATTGTATAATTATAGGTGAATGGCTCTCACCAGTAGTTACTGGTGACAGACCACCTCCCATTGATTCCTTCACTTTAACTTCAGTAACTGATGACACTGCCCTCCTGTTTGGCGGTGATTCTGTTAATGGATCCAGTAAAAAACTTTATGCTTTCACTTTTACTACAACATCAGTGGTAAGCTGTGCTTTTGTATTTGGTCACAATGCAGTTAATATGATATACATGTACATGTAATTGCTGCAATCTTCAATTTTTGGGCTATTGCATTATGTGAAACAAAACAAAAGTGTCATTTCTATGAATTCAAGTTTCGAAATTTTGGTATTAGCAATTTTGGCATTAGTGATCATTGATGACTGGCATGGCTTGGAATAAAGGCCAATACAATACTCATTGAATTTACACTACAATTTACAATGTACACATGTATCTACATGTATTCTATAGAGGTCCTGTTTTGATATGCATTTTATAGCACTTTCATAACAAACATTATACACGTACATGTAGTTAAATTTCATGTACATGCTAGTTTAGTTTACATATTATTTGCATTAGGAAGTGACTGAAGTACCTAATCTTGGATCATCAGAACAATGGCCTATGGGAAGACAGTCTCATTGCAGTGCTCTTGTCACCTTTAACTCTGGATCATACTTATTCGTGATAAGTGGATATCTTATCAGGGATTTCTGGCTACTGGACACAAACACAAGGACATGGAAAGAATTAGTAAGAATTGTATTAAATACATTTTGGTAAATGTAGTGTGAATGTACATGTACATGATGTACTCAATGAAACTACAGTAACAGTTTAAATCATGTTAGTTTGTCCATTGTATCGTGTGTTTTATTTGTGTGACAGTTGTGTCTTTAGCCAATGAGAATTGTCTGTATGTTAATAGTGAACTTAGTAATGTACCGTAATTTGCCTTTTTTTCGTTGTGGAAATATTTTCGTATGGTCCTAAAATGACGAAAATATTTCAATCGAAAATTTTTGAGCAACCAAAATTTGTGACCTAATTCATCAATGAAAGACTAAGGTACGGGCTGATAAGTAGGTATCTTCTTGCAGCTCTAACCTTGCTCTATCCACTGGTGCTTGCTGTACTTCAATCAGTTGCTTCACTACTGAGTTATAAAATAAAACGGTCAACCATGTGACAAAAGTAGCCATTTAATGTTCCCGTTTATTATCCGTAAATTGGTCATTGCCGCATCTCCAGTACTATCTGTATACTAGTAATGTCGGGGAACAGCCAGGTCAAGAATCTCTTATCTCAAGAATTATAAACACTACTATAGCGGCCTTGTTACCAGTAGGTAAAGGACAAGGTATATGCAAGAGAAGCTAAATTTTCATACTGTAAAAATTTTTGTACACCATGAGAAGACGAAAATATTTCCACTTGAATTTTTCTGAAACGAAAAATTTTTGTACGAAAAAAAGGCAAATTACAGTAATATACATGTACTGTACATTTATAGTTCCAATCAAATTTCATTTTCTTTACAAATTTTTAAAGTTGCTTAAAAATTGGGACTTTGGTTTGCAAATTCTGCCAAAATGAAAAAGTAGAAATTTTACACTTTTTATAATTTTTTTTCTTTTACATATACATGTTTTTACGTCATTTAGAAAATTCTAACTAGTTCTGATTGAATTTAGATTTTTTGTGATTTTTTAATGTTTTTATGTTATGTAGGAAATTTGAGCTGATTCTGATCAAATTTGGTTTTTTACAAACTTTTGAATTTGCGGCCAAAGTCCCTGGTACTGGGATTTCAACCAAATTTTATCAAAAATGAAAAGGAAAGAATTTACCATTTTTATAATTTTTTCTGCTTGCACAGAAAGTTTGAACTAATTTTTATCAAAATATTAGATTTTATAATTTTTTAAAATTTCTCAAAAATTGGGCCAATCAGTCCTGAGGTACACGCACTATACACGTACATGTACATGTATGTCGAATCATAATACAAGGCACATGCTAGAAGAGAATTTTTTATTCTAATGCACATACATGTACATGTACATGTATGATGTACTGTATACATGTACATACATGTACATGTATATAGCTGGTGGAGTTCTGTTTGGTGATTAGCTGATTAATGATAAAATGATTAATATCCATCATTTTGCTTTTATTATTTTGAAATACTCTAGCTTAATGACATGGCTACATTGCAACCATAGAATTAGTGCCGCCTAATTTTCCAACTATATGATGTTACTCATTAAGTTTGTGCACTGTTATAAATGTTCGTTTACTATGTGATAAATTATGTTTTTTAGGTCGGTCTCCCAAACAGTGTCACTGAAAGATGGCATCATTCTCTCTGTGTGTGGTCTGTTACACCAACCACTAAATGGATGATTGTTTTTGGTGGAGAAGGTGACTATAGTGATACAGCAGTCATCGAACTCAGTATGTACAGTGGATTATTATGCATTGTATATTTCATTCTTGTTGTTAAAGAATTATTAATTATTATTATTTTTGTGGTATTGTATAGCAAAGGATAATGATTGGTTTATCCGTGAGATACCTCTGGACCAGTATCAAGATCAACTTAGAAGAAGGATACTGAGTGATTGGGAGAATTTAGGAACAGAAAAACAGCTTCAAATATTCCAAGATTGTCTTCAATTACAAAAACAGAAAGAATTCTATCAGGAACAGCCTCAAAGAGAAATAAAAGAGAAGGAGGAGCATTCTGAAGCACTCTCTCAGCGACTTAATGATGTTACCACACTTCTTCAGGAAGCAGAGAAGAATAATGCCTCTTTGCGTAATTCTCTTGAATTATGTAACAAACAGCTTGAACAAAAGAACCTAGAAGATGAGCAATTGAGGCAAGAATTACACAAACAGTCAAGTAATCTACATGCATGCATGTACAGTATATTTACATGTGCATGTTTGTGTGCAATAATCTACATGCAGTGCAATATAAGTGACAAAAATGGTCTCATTATTATAACCTATCTTTTTAATAATAGAAAACTATGAGACGCTTAAAGCTAAATTTGCTGATAATGAATATATACTTGAAATGTTAAAAGAGAAGACACAAGTAGAGGAAAAGAAACAGATTATTAATGGTTAGTGTAGTAGATAATATTAGATGAGAGAATATTCTATTAATGTAGAAGATTATGAGAAACTGAAACTCAAACTAGCTGATATGGAGGAACAATATGTCAAGGAGAAAGAGAACATTACTGGTTATTTTCTCATCATCAATGAATAATTATTTATTATTAATATTCTATTAATTTGTAGACCTTAGAGCTAAAGTGTCTGATAATGAATTGCATACAGCCAAACTAATGAAGGAGAAGTCACAACTACAGGAGAGAGTCACATCCTTAGAGGAACAATCCATCAAAGAGACTAGTTCCATTGGACTACAATTCAATTACCTGATCCCTTCAATGGGTAAGAGTATTATTGTGTGACTGACTGACTGTGTGTCTTATTCCTTATACTGATAGATAATTTGGACTGTCTGAGTGATGTACAGGTAGCAGAGAAGAAGCTGTTTCTAATTCAAGGAGAGAAACCTCAACTAATTAATTGGGAGAAATATGGTCTAAGGATTGGAGTACAAGAAGATACCTTATCACTCACCGATACAGTTGAGGTAGCAGTTGTTGCTCTATTGGGAGGAGAGTTTGTGTTTCCAAAGAATACAGTACTAGTGAGTGCTGTTTATGCTGTTTTAGTATCCAAGCCTCTCCTCAAGCCATTGCGACTAGAAATTGAGCACTGCATTGATCTGAAGGGACGACCAGGTCTTACACAATTTTTAAAGTTTGCCATAGCTCCCGTGAGCACACCCAGTCTTCCTTACCACTTCTCAATAACTGAGGGAGGAGAGTTTAAAGCTGATAGTTGGTATGGATCCATTCAACGTAAAGAGTTCTGTTTGGTAGCTATTGTTGGGGAGAAGCTTCTACCCAAA